TCTCCTGGAAAGCTGCTTTGGGTTTCTGCATCAGCTGGGAGTGGGGGTCTTGCAGCAGTAGCCTGCTACCCGCTTTCTCCCACCACAAAGGAAAGTGTTGCATTTGCAGGTGGATCTTGCCAGCATTTTTGTCCTGTGTCCAGAGAGTCCGTCGCAGAGCAGAGCCGTGCAGCTGCGTGGTGGGGTTACACCTTTTGTTTTGTACCGTGGGGTCCTTTCAGATGGAGCGTAGTGTGGGGATGTGATATTTTTCAGTGTGGTGCTTGCTTTCCCAGCACACAGTGCATTGGGATTTTGAGACAGAGTTTCTAGGGCTGAAGCTTTATGCTGGTATTTTTAAAATTCATCTGTAACTTTGGGGTTTTCCACTCTTGTAGGATAGACCATAAATTCCTCCTTAAAAGGCATCTAGTTATTTGAAAAGGTTTTGGTTCATTGGAGCTTGAGTTTTTAAGGTTACTATGCTAAAATCTTATTAGGGAAGCTGTTTAATGTATTACTTGGCAGCTCAGAGTCTTGGAGAGCCACCAATATGCCGGGGACTATGCAAACACCTCCACTGCCCAAGAGGATCCCACATTTCACCTGTGTCTTCATTCTCAATCATCATAGCGTATCCAAAATCACTAGGAAGGAATGACTACAGATCAGCAAATTCCTCCCCATGTTTGTTTTTTTCTGTTGCTGGAAAGGCATGCTGTGTTTAAAAAAATGCATTTAATCCTTTGTTGGGCTGAGGTTGATTGAGGTTCATACTAAATAGGAGATTACCACATAACAAGTCTAATCAGGTCGGACTTTTGAAAGCCCTGCTTGCTTTTCCATGCATAAATGCTGCCATGCTTTGTTTCCGTGTGTCCCACCGCAAGCTTTTCACATTCTTTCCAGGCTTTAGCTTGTGGTCGTCCTTGTGCCATGACAGTTTTCTTAGTAAAACTGAGCCAAGGTCACACAAAGAGAAGAGGGGAGGAGGGAGAGAAGTTTCTTTATAGAGCTTGTCTGGGAGGTCGGGGACAAAAAAAACCCAAATACGCATCCAGATATGGCTGGGAAGCAGCAAGCATGTTTGCAGGAAGCTACTGCCTGTTTGACCCTGGGGACAGCATATTTCAGAGACTGGCAAAAGGAAGGGTAGGTGGGAAAAAAAGGGCAGGACGGGGGGAAAAGGCAGGAGAGAGGTTGGCTTGTTGCAGTCCGCTCACAAGGACAGTGTCATCTCCACTCAGAGGGCTTGCCCTTTCCCCATTTGGCTGTTTCCAGGGGCAAGCGTGGTTATAAGCTTGCAGCTGAGCTTCAGAGCAGCCTCAGCCACACTGGCCTCCCCGTTGCCCCAGCTTTGAGATTCAGCTTGCGTTGAGGATGCTGCTGGATGCGGCAGAGCGCTGAGCTGGGCACGAGGCGTGCAGAGGCACAGCCTTTTCTCTGGGCACAACACTCGAGCCAGCGCAGACCCATCCTGCCTGCTAGGTAAGGGAGAAAGGGCCACCCGCTTCTCCCTCCCACCCATATGTAAACCCCACGGATGACCGATAAGTAGCCATATAAAGGTCATGCACAAGGTCTCTGAAGGCAGCGTTCCCGAACCGTGGTAAAACAGCAGGGGTGGGATTTCCAGCTCTTATTGGTCTGCTCCACGCTGAGCCCGGTGGGGCGGGAAGCAGGAGGAGATCCATGGCAGATAGATGGTGGCCCAGGGCCCTGCCTCACGCTGACTCAGTCCCAAGTCTCCAGGGCTTGGGGCAAAGCTGTGTTCGCGTTTGCAGCCTTTTCAGGGTCACTGGGCTCCTGAAGTCTGAGGGGGAGTATCTGCACAGGCTTAGCATCTGGCATCTCCTTTGGTCTGGATGTCTCAGAGCTTCCTTCTGTACCTCCTTAGTCTCTTCAAGGCCAGGTTAAAGGAAGGGGAGAAATGCCTTCAGAAAAAGGTAAAGAAGGAGGCTTGTAAGTCTGCCAGAAAGCAGCAGGCAGCTTTGGGAATGGGGAAGGCCAGAAGCTGCTTGCACTTCCCGTCTGCTGCTGCCTCTCGCAGAGCACTGACCTGGGAGGGAGCAGCTGAGGCTGTGCCAGCTAGAATGAGTAGATGCTGCTTACTGAAGGTTTCCCCTTCTCCATATAAAGTCATTTTGAAGGGAAAATACTTTCCCAGCAACTTAGGAGACTGGAGCAGGTCTGTTTTCAGACTTGCAAGAGCTTGTGAGGGTGAACAATGTCTAGCTTTTGCTTTCATTTGCTGTCTCGTGGAGAGTGTTCCCAGTCTGTGTTTCACCCCGGGCCATGGCACAGTGATGCAGTGCTCAGGAGGACTGGCGGGGAACCAGGCTGGTGCCCATGCGAGCTTCAGCATGCGGTACACAGCTTTGTATGTTTGTGGTCGGGACTTCCCATGCACACCCAAGCGCCAGGGCATACCCCACAGTGCTTCACATTGAGCTTATTTTTGCCTTTAGTGACATACCTGCAGCCCCCTTAATTTTAGCAAGAAAGTTATTGCTCTGCTTGCTGGGGTGTGATTTATTTGTGTGTGTGTGTGGACACCAAAGGAAGATCAGCAAGGACCAGCAGACCCTGAGCTGCGATAGACCATCCAGGTACCAGCAAGGGGCTGATGGGTGGGCTGGGAGATGCCTGATCTCCGCCTGCTGTGGCTGACCAGAGAAGAGGTGCCCAGCACGGGACAGGTGTCGGGAACAGATGCCAAATGATAGCCTCATCGAGGAAGTCACAGGCTCTGCCACGTGCTGCTGCGGCAGAAAAGCAACTACATAACAGCAGTGAGAACTCCTCTCCGGCTGCTACTTTTGACATAACGCAGGCTGTCAGCTCCCTGTGATCTGCAGAAAAAACAGTCCCTGTGCTTTCAGGCTCCTCTCCCCACGGTGAATGAGCTCACTGGCTCTGTAAGTAAGCCCGTTCCCTGGCCAGGGAGAGCTATTTGTCTTACGAACAATGGGCAGAGTGGGGAGGAAATGCCTGAAGTGCCTGCCGAGAGCAGATGATCTCCATCAACAGCCTGCACTGTCCTCTTGGCCAAGGAGGTCCTGTGCAGTCAGGGCAAGTACCAGCAGGGAGCATCCTGTACATCCCCAGTCCCCCTGGCTCCGTCCCTGGCGGGGAGCAGAGACCACTCAGCCGCATCGATGGTGGTGACCATTTTCATCAGCAGGTGCAACCCACAAGTCCCCAGGTCGAAAGAAGCGGACGGAGAAACGTTCCCCTTTGTGGGCAGTGCTGCAAGGAGAGCAGCAAGGCCTCTAAGATGCAGGCTGTAGGATGAGGGCTAGGGGGTTCCTTGCTGGCAGGAATCAACTCACCTGCTCTGTACAAGGTGGGCTTGTTTCCAGTCCTGCTGAGTGCACGGTGGCCTCGCTTCCTTCACAAGGACCCCCGAAGCAAGAGGGGTGACTTGAGGGGGGAATGCCCTCACATCCTCTGAAGTCCCTGCAAGGCTCAGGCATCCCCTGCCTCTCCTGTCGTGGCAGGTTGCCACATCCCCTGTCCATCTCTGGCTGCTTCAGGGGACTGTGGGAGGGAGTGTGAGTGGGACCAAAACAGGCAGTAAGCAGGGTGGCTGCCATGCACCTGGACGTCAGCTCACGTGGTGGGAGTCTAGCTACTGCTGTGGCCTGTCGTGATTTGACTTTAAATCTGCTGACTTCTTGGCCTTTCTCATTTATTTTTAGTGGAGGAAGAAGCCCAGCTCTAGAGTTGTGGCTGTCTGGATTTAAGTCAAATATCCCAAGAGACCACACTGACTCTTCCCATGACACTGTTGCACCTCTCAGGATGTGTATTCCCTCCTGGCCTCAAGGCTGTGCCGGATAGAGGCGGCGGCCTGTGAATGCTCCCCGTTCATTTTGCAGCCAAAGGCAGAGTCTCAATGTTCCTCCTGGTTAGATCAAGATGTGCGTCCCGAGCTCAGGACCGCCTCGCAGCAGCCAGGCTCTCTCTGTGCTGTGGCTGCTGTGCCGAGTCAGCTGGAGCTTCGCTGTGAAGCTGTGCAGGCAATTCCCTCTTTCCAGGGAAGAGAAACAATTTCTCCTCGCCCAGGAGGTGGGTAGAAATTCCCTCTCTCTTTTCCCCTGCCAGCAGCTGCTGCAGAGAAATCCTGGTGTGACCTTCTCCTGGCAGGGTGAACAAACATCCCCAGGCAGAGGGTGTCCAGGCCTGTGACGCAGGGGGAAACTCAGTGGCAGCCAAAACTGAGACGCCTCAGGCAGTGGATTTAGTGGTGCGTTGAATGCTGCCCATTCCCAACCAGGGAAGGATTGAGCCAGATTCTGGAAGAGCCTAACAGTGCCTTAAAATCCACCTGGCTTTTAACATAAGAATCAGGATATCTCTCCTTTTCTGTGGTGGGAGATGGTAGTCATTTGGAGGCAGTTGTGTTTCTCCTGCCTCACGGAGAAGCCCAGCGACCGGTGATAAAGAGGACGGTGTCATACAGGGGCAAACGTAGACCTCTCGAGGAACAGCTCTGCCCCAGGAAGGGCACCTTGCAAGTGGAGGGTTTTGCATGGCTGGAGCAGAGGGTGGCAGCAGCAGCAGGCGATGCTGGGTGCACATCTGCCGGAGGTCCTTGCAGAGCACGAGGTGAGCTGAGCCGCCTGGGGACATCCGGATCCCACCGGAGCTGCCAAACGCCCTATTGTCCCTATTGCTCAAGGGACACCAGAAAAAGAAACGAGGAAACGGCTGCGCTGGGGAAGGGGAGCAGAGTGCGTGACCTGAGGCGGCCCCGACACAGGGATGGCAATACCCTGGGCTGGTGCGGGGGTCAGGCAGTGCTTCGCGCAGGAGCGCGCTGGGGGTGCTAGCCCCACGGGTCACCCCGCTGGACTACCTGCAGGAGAACAACATCCTGCAGGGTGTTGCTGAGAGTGCAGAGCCGGGCACGGGCTGGAGGTACGGATCTGCTCTGGACCACCTGGAGCAAGGATAACTCCAGTACTCTTCCATACGGGAAAGGGTGCTGTGGCTCTGACACACCTCTCTCCTGGCCCATGCGCAGGAATCAGTTCACGCAGCAGCACAACCAACAACAGGGTAAGCAGCGTAACGAAACACTGCTTAAATCCTTTTCTCAGCTGAGAGACTCAGTTCTGTGCAGATAAGGAGCACCTGGGTTGTGATGTCTGTCTGCCAGGAAACCAGCTCATACTGATCATTAGGTGCGGCTTTAACCATGGCCCTGGGGCTACACATAAAAGTTCCCTGCTTCTACGCAGCTACCTCCTTGTAAAACCAGGTCTGGGATATCTCTGTAATGGAGAATTTGGATTGCAGCCACCCCTGGTCTCTTAGCAGCTTCCCATCAGCAGGCTGTGTACAGTCATTCCTGGAGAGGGAAGTCTTGGAAGAGAAGAGCAAACACTTCTCTGGGATCATATCAGCTGCTCAGGAGTGGGGAGCCACCTTGGCATCCCTTGGGCTAATACTGAGGGATGGCTGATGTCCTCTGGCTAGTGATACCAGCGTGGATCTGCCTCCAGATCCTGAGGAGGAAAAAAAGATGCCAGCTTTCTGCTGGAAGATATTGGTGCAGTGGGATGCACCTGAAACCTGCTCCCCACTGCCTGCAAGAGGGCTGCAAGGCAGAATGCACATGTGGGGCTGAGGTCAGTGCATGTTCAGGACCCCAGAAGGAGCATCAGGACCCAAACCTACCCTTCTTTTATGGAGCTGGGAATGAGCCATGCTCTGTGAGCCAACATACCCAGAGGCTTCAGTCAGGCTGGCTCTGGAGTACTTGTTCACATAGGACATGCCTTCTTCTGGTGGAACCTAATGGGAGCTTGTTTCCTGTTACTGCCTGCATCTTCAGAGCAGAAGGGGAAAAGCTGCTGCGTTCTTGAAGCTATCAAGTGGAAATAAACACTATGTACTCCTTTGGTCTGCTTTTCCTATTGTGGGGAATTAATAGCTGCATTTTGCAAAACAGCCCCACTAAAGAGGGACTAAACAGAAAAGGCCATTCTTCCCTTCCTGGGATATGGGTTACGTCTCCAACATTTCCCAGCCCAAGGGGTAAATATCTCCAGCCAGATCTGCAAAACAGCTCTGTTCCCATCTCGCTTTGGAAACAATTCCCTATTTAACTAGGGATTGGAGCTCTCTGGGGAAAAATGGAGCTCTACATTCACCTGGTCCCTTCGCAGATCCCCCCCAAGAAGAGCTCTGCTACCCTCCAGCCAGCCTCCTTTGGCTGAATATTTCACACAGGTAAAAAGGGAGCAGCATAACATTGAATTCTGCTAGCCAGCTGCCACAGGCTTTGCTGCAGGTGAAAATCATGCTGGGAAAAAGGATGCTGCAAAGCTGGCCAAGCTCTCGGTAGCATGGGAGAGTGAGTGGGGACCCACCCTGTCTCCTGGGGAGTCCTTTCCTCCATGCCAGTGGAGTGTCAACGGTGCACTTCGTGGCTGCACCGTGAGCAGAAGCAGCAGTTTGCAAGTCCTGCTCAGCCCCTGAGATAACAGAATACAAACATTATCTTACCTCTAACCTCAGTCTTGCAAGTAGATGGACTGATCACCTGAACTGCTCAACACTTGAGTTTCCATCTGGGGCAAGGGCACACCAGCCTGAACAGCTTAAGGTCGGATGCATATGTAGCTTTGGAGCAAGAAGTGCTGTGATGTGGGATCAGTCCAGCAAGCTTTGCTCCAAGCAGGGGACCCCCTTCACCTCATCCTCAAAACCCATCAGAAGTGACCGGCCACACTTAAAAGGCTAGCAAGGAGACAGGCTTGCAGTCACCCGGTGCTTAAAAGCATTCCTCCCATTTTTTTGCAGGACCCTCCATTGTGACCCCTCCTAAGGACATCTGGAATGTGACAGGAGCACAGATCTACCTGAGCTGTGAAGTCATGGGCATCCCAACCCCTGTCCTCATCTGGAACAAGGTAAGGGCCCTGCTAGGAGCTCTTAGAGCATAGCAAACCTGAGGCAGCTCAAACTGCCTGGTAAGCATAAAGGCCGTAGCAGATCCCCTTGATGAGTTCTCCCATTGGTACAGTTCTGTCCACCCCCAAACATCTGGCTTTGCTTAGTCTCTAGTCATTGCTTGTTCTAAACTCTTGTTGATCCCGAGGCAGAACAAGACTTGTGTTTCTCTTGGCAGCCCCTGGTATTCAGAGCACGCAGGGAATGTCCCTTGACCTGCTGTCACCCTGCTGGCGGCAGTGGCTCCTGAGGTGGCTGGACACGGCTCGCCCACGTCAGGAAAAGGAACCGCATGCGGTGGTTATCTCCAGTAGCCAGCGGCATGCCGATTTGGGCAGCACGCTGGTAACACCTGTGCTTAGGGCAGGGGCCAGTGTTGAGCAGAGAGGATCCTAGCTGTAGGGCTGAGAGCCACTGCGTGGCCCCTGTAGCCTCTTCAAATGCCACAGCTTTGTGGGTACCTGGAAGGGGTCTTAAGCTGAAACAATACTGATTCTGATTCCTGCAAATAGCGAAGTCCTATTAGCTGTGCCAAGAAAACAAATTAAACTAAGTAATTCAACTGCTTCTGAGACTTATCCTTGAGGAACTCCATCATTAACTGTATTCCCTTCTGCTTCCTGAATCTGCAGGAGTAGTATCATCTCTCCATTAGGTAGTTCCTTCATCGCTCTAGAGTCCTTGAACTATCCCACATTCATACATTCATTACAGGAAAAAGGAAAGAAATTATAACCATTTTATTTGTTTAGGCTAGATGAAGTGAACTCAAAATTCATACCATTTTCAGACTGTGAAACAGGTAGCTCTTGTAATATGATGACATGTTTGACAACCTCTTCATTTTTCTCACAAGCAGCATTTAATGTCCATACTCGTTAATCTGGCTAAAAAAAAAGCAACATTTCCTCTGGTAGCAAATTCAAAAGACTAGCTTAAGAATACTACAGAGGAAAAAAAAAAGATTGGCCCAAAGATTGCTCTGTTCTGAGACAGTGAACTTTATTCATAGGGGTCCCAGAGCAGATTGCTGGGTGAGCAGGTATGGTCCTAACAGTTCTAGCATAAATAAGCCCCAAAATTCTTGCCCCTTTCTGCCCTTCTGTTTAGATAATTCAGGGACAGTATGGTGTCCAGAGGATGGAGCTTCTGCCTGGGGACCGGGAAAACTTGGCTATCCAGACCCGAGGGGGCCCTGAGAAACACGAAGTGACTGGCTGGGTACTCGTAAGTACTTTGTGTGTGTGCAGAGCTGCACAAATGGTACAGTGCAGTTTGCAGACAGCTCAGGAACAAAGAATAGCACAGAAGACATGTGGCAACATACAGGGCATTTAGAGGAGAACAGCCTGTGTGAATTAGGCATAAAGGGTAAGGGTGGCTGCTGGCTCCAGTCTCACCTGTTGCAGTTTTTCCCCTCTGTCTATCATTCATCAGAAGCATGCATTCTAGATCAGAGAAGGCTAGGCTTAAATAGAAGATCTCCTTTCTGTATGTCATTAATTGGTATTACTACAACCCTCACCATGTCTAGGAAGGAATCAGTACAGCGACAAGGCATCCCTAAGACCCACCCACAGCTGAGGAGCCCTTATAGATCTGGCAGAACTGTCCTTTCCTCAGTGAAAGACATCATCTGCCTGAGAAGAGAACAGCACAGCACAGAAGCCATCAGCTCTCACTCAGCAGACCTCCTAAGCTACAGGAGTACCTGCCGGCTAATCAGTAGTCACCAGACATCAGAGGGAAGCAGTAGGGTGGCCAGAGGGAGCTGCTGTGCATCCCAGTAAAGGAATTGCAAGTATGACGGCTCCCAGCTGCAGAGAAGCTGGCAGAAGGGAGCACAGCTCAGGGTGTTGGTTCCCGCACCACTTACAAAAGCAGAGGTGGAAACAAGGACTGTTTAAAGCAGACAGAAGAAATCGTGCAGTCAGTGTGGTTCCCTCAGGGTTAACTGCTACTTCATGCACTCTGTTCATCTCATTATGTCTCAAGCAATTTGCAAGTTATATAAGATACCTTAAAACAGAATCACCTCTACCTATGCACAGGATACTTACTGGGGGATGGGGGATGTTTCTTTCCTTAGATATCTCCTCTGAGCAAAGAGGATGCTGGAGAATATGAGTGTCACGCATCAAATGCCAAAGGAGAGGCAACAGCTTCTGCAAAAATCCACGTTGTGGAAACTCTGCATGAAATAGCCCTGACCAAAGGTAGGTAGCGTGGTCGAACACTCAGCAGCTCTTCCCCCTAACAGTTTATTCAGTTACTTGATACAGAAGGACCACCTCTGCTTAATGCTTTTGAAAAAAAAAATGCACACTAGAAATCTCAGTTTAACACGCAGCTTTTACTGGATTTGGCAAAACAAAATCAAGAAGTGGGCCCGTGTGAACCTCATGAGGTTCAACAAGTGCAAGGTCCTCCATCTGGCTTGGGGCAACCCACGGTATCAATACAGGCTGGGGGATGATGGAGTTCAGAGCAGCCCTGTGGAGAATGACTTGGGGGTACTGGTGGATGAAAAGCTGGACGTGACCTGACAACGTGTGCTCGCAGCCCAGAAAGCCAACCGTATCCTGGGCTGCATAACAAGAAGCGTAGCCAGCAGGTCGAGGGAGGTGATTCTGGCCCTCTACTCCATGCTGGTGAGACCCCACCTGGAGTACTGCATTCAGCTCTGGGGTCCTCAGCACAGGAAAGACACGGACCTGTTGGAGCACATCCAGAGGAAGGCCACAAAAATGATCAGAGGGATGGAACACCCCTCCTATGAGGAAAGGTTGAGACAGTTGGGGTTGTTCAACCTGGAGAAGAGAAGGCTTTTTAGCACGGCCTGTTGTGATAGGACAAGGGGTAATGGTTTTAAACTAAAAGAGGGTAGATTTAGACTAGATATAAGGAAGAAATTTTTTACGATGAGGGTGGCAAAACACTGGAACAGGTTGCTCAGAGAGGTGCTAGATACCCCATCCCTGGAAACATTCAAGGTCAGGCTGGACGGGGCTCTTAGCAACCTGATCTAGTCAAAGATGTTCCTGCTCATTGGAATGAGGTTGGACTAGATGACCTTTAAAGGTCCCTTCCAACCCAAACTATTGTATGATTCTATGATTCCCAGTAAATCTCAGCTGCTAGAGTTCTCGTGGGATTGTTAAATAACCCCTCAAGTGCTATAAAGCACTGGAGATTAAGATACAAAATTAAAAACACCTTTTGGGCGTTTTACAAAGCAACTTTCAGTGGTTTTCTAGCCCTAAATTTGTATCTTCCTTTCTCCGTTCTCTTTCACTTCCAAACCTGCCCATCGCTCCTGGGAGCAGTATTAGCACAACCAACCCCAAGACTGAGGGGGAGCTTCAAGCATTTAAATCCCTGCACCTCCTTTTTCTTCCCCATCCTGGAAACATTCTAGTCCCTGCCATTCTCTCTGCATGCTGGAGTGTCAAACCCAGGAGGGGATAGATATGCCACAGTAGGCCTTTAGGCAAGATCTGAAACCTTTACCCTCCAGCCTCAGCCAGTTTTCAAACCCAGGTCCTCTTTGCCAGGCTGCGTCCAAAGCTGACAGCAAACCAACCACCTTCATTCCAGCTGCAAAGAGGATGGCTTAGTACCACGGCTGTGTGTGCTATGGAATAAATCTGGAGAGCTGGAACAGTAACTGGAACCATGCTAGAGGGAGAGGCAGTGGGAACAAAGCAGCCAGCTAGAGAATACTGTGCTGCCCAAATACACTTTTGGACATAATCCTTAGTTTTAATCCCAGTAGCTTTATCCTAGTATCCAGTAGCTTTAGCTAGATATAGTCTTGACTTTCTCTATCCTTATATCCCTGAATAGCTGAAAGACTTCCTTTAGCAGAATACTGACAGCACCTGCCATAAAATAAGAGCATAAAATGAATCCCAGTGTCAATTACGCATAGAAGCCTTGCTAAAGGTTTTTAGCTAGTCTCTAATCCCTTTTCAAAACCTTATTTACAGACATGAATGAAATTGAGTTTTACTGAGTTGTGCCATGAGCAGCACACTTCTATTCTGGAGTGTAAGTTGTTCGCTCCCCCTCTCACAGTAACTACTGCAAGGTTGTAGTACCGTGCGTACTGCCTCATGGTTTATTTCTTATATGCACACCACATGTCACAGCTGTTCTTTTTCAGCTGTAGGAAAGCTCTCAAGTAAGCATGCTGTAGCTCAGCAACAAGCTGGCAGTCCACAATTACTTAAAGGAAATCGATAATGTTAAATGGAACAAACTGTCATATGAAACAGGCTTCTCCATAGCTACACACTACCGTGGTTAGTCAGTCTGCGTCCAAGTGATCTCAGCACAGAAAAATGACATCTATTACCATCTCCCTGCTGCTGTAGTCCTGTAGAAGGGAAGGGAGGGAAGGACTGAGCTGTCAGGTCTCACCCTCAGCTAAGACATCAGAAAACTCACTCACTGTGCTACTGCCCAAGTTGTGATGTTACCCCTTAGAACAGTACAGAGCGTAACATAGTTTTGTTTTTCCACAGATGACGGTGCAGAGCTGTGATGTGATGTGAGGACTTTCACTTCGCACAGTTTTAAATTAGTATTTTGGAAAGCTGCAACCTCTGGCTCACTAATCATTCCCTCTTACTCCCTTATTCTTTGATCACCAATTTGCTTGCGCACTTCTTTCACAGATACACAAATAAAGAGATTCACAAGTTTGATTACAAATTTTAATTCTATTTACAGGAAATAAACATACTTTTGAACAGCACGTAGCAGATGAGTAAAACTGTGTTTTAAATGCAACCTACACAAAACGTAACAAAACTTGAGCACTTCAGTCTCATCATTTTTTAAAAAAGCCCTTTTAAAGGCTAAACACTCATCATACGAGGTGCAATACTCATAGACATCAGTTCTTGGAAGAGGAGTTTGCAGGCATAGGGCATTCGAACCAAAGATATCTGGAAAGAGATTTCAAAAGGCTTGTGATAAGAACTCCTAAAGCATCAACTTCCACCACCCTCTACACAAATAATTTGTCAAGTTTTATGGCTCAAAACTGAATCTGAAGTTATGCATGAAAGCATTTAACAACAATTGCTCACAGACAGCAACAAAGCAAGAGGGAAGCTGAGGTGGTCTGCAGAGGCTACACAGCAGCTATCCAGAACGCATTTTTAATAATAAAACCTGCAGCCAAGGGATCTGAGCCATTTAACAAGGGAACATGTGCATAGTAAAGTGTGCCTGATGTGCAGTAAATGCAGTTAAGATTTCCAGCACACATCTCTTCAGTAACCCCAATGCCATTGTCAGAGATGCAGGAGTCAGGCCCTAGCACAAAAACAAGCCTGTTTAAGGCAACTATTTTTATCTCTGCTGCCACTCTCTCTTGACATAGTTCTGTAACCAAGCACACACTACAGAGCTTTTTTTTAATTAAAAAAAAAAAAGTGCAACACAAAAGACCTCCCATGGGGACCCAGCTCTGCAAGCATAAATATCTTCACGGGGACAGTCACAAGGGTGATGGCTCTAAATTCCTGCGATTCTGAGTTTTATTTCTAAAAATAATCTCTCAAGCGTTTACTTTTAAAGTCTCTGAAAACTCTGCACTGCAAAATACTTGAACAGCATTTCCTGCCAAGTGGCAAGCCAACACTGTAAAATTAATAAGGAAACATCCAAATTAACTAGGACACTATAAACACTGAAAACAGTTATGAAACTAAAATAGCAATTGTTATGGTGCTTCTTTAAATATTTACTTCCCTATCCTCCTGTTCACCGAAGTGGCATTTCCTCTTGCCCACAAAGAGAAACACTGGCTGATGAAAACCACACATACCTGAGTTTTATTACGGCATCCCCGGCATTCATAGGTGTGAGTCCTTGTGTTTGCAATTGCCATGATTCCACAGAGGTTACAGACATGGACTTGGTACGGGTCTGAAGCTTCAAACAATCTTTCTCTCAAGAACTGGGCTGCTCCATGAGCAATCTGGCAATCGCGTTCCATTTCTCCAAAACGAAGGCCACCATCACTGAAAAGAGGAAAAGAAAAAAACTCGAGTTCTTTGGTAAAATACATCTGTTCCTGTTGGTGGAACAAATAACTTATCAGAAACACAACAGCAGTATTACAAGGCAGGTGTAAAGCTGTGGATTAATTTTCCTCTAACACCTCAGAATAAAACTATTAGGGAGAATGCAAACACAATAATTTGTAACCACTGCTAAGCATTTCTAAAGGTGTCAGACAGCTAACAGCCACAGCACAACTGTACAGCAAAATGAGGTAAAACAATTAAATCATACTCTACTTATCTGTGGTAGGTTTAACCTTGGCTGGCTGCCAGATACCCACCAAGCTGCTCTCTCACTCCCCCATGTCGATAGGACAGGGGGAGAAAATAAGATGGAAAAGCTCATGGGTTGAGATAAAAACAAGGAGATCACTTACCAATTACCATCATAGGCAAAACAGACTCAGCATGGGGAAAAGCAATTTAATTTATTGCCTATTAAAAATGGACTAGGATGGTGAGAAACAAAGACAAAACTAAAAATATCTTCTCCCCTACCTTCTTCCCAGGCTCAACTTCACTTCTTCATTCCCAACTCCTTGCTCCCCTCCCAATGGTCACAGGGGGGATGGGGGATGGGGATTCAGTCAGTGCATAACAGTTCCTTTCTGCCACTCCTTCCACCTCACACTTTTTCCCGCTTGAGTGTGGGGTCCCTCTCATGGGGTAGTCCTTCACAAACTGCTCCAGCATGGGCCCTTCCCACAGGGTACAATCCTTCAGGAACAGATAGCTGCAGCATGGGTCCCCCACAGATCACAGCTCCTGCCAGGAACCTGCTCCAGCTTTCCACAGGCTGTAGTGCAGGTATCTGCTCCACCTGTGGTCCTCCATGGGCTGCAGGCAGACAACCTATGCCACCATGGTGTCTCCACGAGCTGCAGGGGGATCTCTGCTCTGGTGCCTGGAGCACCTCCTCCCTCTCCTTCTTCACTGACCTTCCTTTCACATTTTCTCACACTTCTCACAGCTGCTGCACAGTGTTTTTTACCATTTCTTAAGTACATTACCACATATGTGCCACCAGCATCACTGACATGCTCAGCTTTGGCCAGCAGTGGGTCTGTTGGAGCCAGCTGTAAGTGGCTGTTGTCCAGCACAGGGCAACCCCTGGTCCTTTCTCAGAGAGGCCATTCCAGAAGCACCTCCTGCTACCAAAACCCTGACACCTGCACGCAGTACATCATCTTAAGCCAAACACATTAAAATGTGTGGCTAATCAGGGTGAGCTAATTAAATTCTAGCTGCAAAGTTGAGGCAGCTAATTTTTAGGGCTAAAAACTTCAAAGAAAAAGAAAACCCTGTATAGAAACATTAAACATCCTTACCGAGATCTACCCTCCATGGGCTGTCTGTTAAGTATCTGGATTGGCCCTCTTGCACGAGAATGGATTTTGTCATCTACCATGTGCTTCAATCGCTGATAATATGTAGGACCAATGAAGATCTGTGATGTGATTTTTCGACCAGTGAAGCCATTGTAGAGGACCTGAAGTAGTCAATGCAATCACTGAATCATAAGCCTTACCATCCATCAAATGTATATTAAAAAAATACAGTGAATTGATACTTTGATTATACCTCATTTCCTCTTAGATGATAGCCATAATCTGACAAAAGATTGGAAATCTTCTGCACATTGACAGCATCATTAAAAGGTGTAGCATCACCAATTTCTCCCTTGTTTGCAGACACCTACAGAGAAGAGATTTGCAAAAGCTTGTCAGACTTCTGAAGGACTGGTCAGACAACATTAAGCTATTTCAAACAGTTTTAACTCTTCATGCCAGAATGTGAGATTCCATGCCCATAATAGTAGCCTATCTTGCTTTGTTTATCAGCTTCACAATTTACAGTGAGATTTTAAAAAATACACCATATCAACAATTTTGCTGCTCCTTTCTCTAGGTCACAGGAAATGTTTGGAATAAAAGCAACAGATGAGAGAATACACTGTAGTCTGACTTGCTGGACAAAATTTACAGGACTGTAGGTCTTCTCCAAGAAACCTGCTTTTGCTATCAAGTAACTGGAGAACAATTGTTATTTTTTAGTGGATTAACACCTACCATGGAGTAGTATCTTTACAAAAAAAAAAAGGAGGGGGCGGGGGGAAGAAAACATTTTAATTCATACTGCTCAGGCATACAGCATAAAAGATTCTTCTTACCTTCCCCTGAAGACACTCGATCAAGTGACCAATGGTCATGCGGGAAGGGATGGCATGAGGGTTGATAATTATATCAGGTGTGATGCCTTCACAGGTGAAGGGCATATCCTAGAGCAGGGAAACAGAATCAGTACTGGCCAGAATATCAACTTTAAGAAAAGCAGTTCTGTGGATTCAAATTAAATCTCTTAAAGCATTTCAAAGGCACTGAAGTACCATGTAAGAAGGAGCTGTGTCCCCTTCTAAACATATTTTAGCTAAATTTAAGTCAATATATTGCACTCTAGTAGATATTCCACAGACAACTGACTTAAGGCAGCTCCAATGCTAAGAAGATCAGAGATAAAATGTTAAGAAGGAGAAAAAGAAAAAAAAAAAAAAAAATCACTACCTCTTGCCTGTACTGGATACCACAAGTTCCTTTCTGCCCGTGTCTGCTGGCAAACTTATCTCCAATTTGTGGGATTCTTACAGAGCGTACCTGTAAGCCATAGGAAAACATTCAATTGGTAACTTAAATACAGAACAAAAATGATTAAAAGTAGAAAGCACATGTCACTGCTCACCCTAATCTTGCAGAACTTGTATCCTTCCTGGTTAAGGGTTACCATGACCTGATCTACAATACCAGTCTCACTAGTTCGCAGAAAAGTACTACAGTCTCTCTTTGTGAAACGTCTGTTAGTGCTTTCCAGTTCGTCTTCATTTTCTGGCAGCGTTACTGTTTTGCCAATGATGACATCATCCCCAGACACACGCACCCCAGGTGCTATCAAACCATCATCATCAAGTTTGTCATAGATTGCATGTCTCATACCTTTGGGGAAAAAAAGAAAAAAAAAAAGGTAGACTCCCAAATTTTTCAATATGTTTACTTTGATGTTCTGTAGAAATTCAACAAGTCTGCTTGCAACTTCAGACTACTGCTGAATTGTCTAAAGATAATTTTATGCAAATATCTCAACTGATGTATTTTACTATTAATACAGACATTTCTGCTATTTTATATATCCCAAAATAAAGACTGAATCAGTTCAACAACATTAACAACCTTGCCCACAAAATTAATTTAAAAACTCAGTCTTCACACACTCCTGTATCTTACCTTGGCAAGTTTCACGTGTAGGCTTTTCAAAAACTTCTTCCTGGTCATACCCTTTTTTAGACTCTTGCTCTTTGTATGAGCGATAGAACACAGATCTGAAACAAAGTTATAAAGCCTTCTCCAGTGAAACCAGCATCATTTTTCCTCATCTGTGCATCTCAATTTCACTATAATCACCCTTTTATCACATATTATGGCTACTGTTACTGATGACAACCAAAACAAATAATGTTCACATGCCACACAACCTTTCCTCTAGTCTTGTTAATCTGTCCATCACTGAGGAGGGGAAAACAAAAACAAAAACCATCCCACCAAACAAACAAAAAACAGTTTCAGGTGGCATCTTGATGGTCACTTTTCAGATATTGCTAAAGTACCTACAGATAACATGCTAATTTTTGACGAACTGCAGAGACCTTCAGATCTGCTTGACATCTCAAAAGTAGTTATTATTCCTAAAGATATTCACATCATATCATTCTCATATTACTTTTCTCCTTACACTTGCCATTTTGCAAGCATTTTTAGGCTTCTACTGCTACCTTGCAGTGCCACACTCAGTACAACTGAGCTGCAGTGGAAAACTTTCAATTTATATAGGTTTCTTTCTGGGGCTTTAAGGGTTTTTGTTTGCTGCCTCATTTGCCAGCACACCAAAGCCACGCCACAGCCTTTCAGATAAATATTATCGACATTTAATTAGTCCCATGCACACAGGAGACTCTATAAAAGCTTCACGTGAGCCATTAAAGTCTAATAGTCTCATACTTATTCTACATTGGCAGGCAGTAGATCCAACATACCAAGCACACAATTCTTGGGCTCAACTTGGGCAAAAGAAAATAAACAAAACTAGAAACCCATTGACCAGCTATACAGCTAAACACACCCATCTAAAAACTATAATGCACAAAGTCACTTCACTTGCCAGTTGTCCGAACAGCAGTTGCTACTAAGGAGACAAAAATGTCAATCCTCACTGGTAGCAACTGTCATGCTACTAAAGACAAGACTATATTACAAAGCTGCAATATTGGCATTAAGGTGTTCACATAACTGACAAGTTATATGAAAATATAAGAGCAAAGAGTCCAAATATTTTTTCACTTAACCACCGTACAAAGAACAGTAAACATAGTAAATAAGAACAAAATGGAAGAGTTGGGAAGACAGAGTGGGAAGTCAGGTTACACAAACCATTACTTGCTGTGTTTTCCTAAGATACACGTTCACCATTTTCATTGTGCTGCTCCCTCCATTCTCGTTTTAAAAAAAAAAAAAAATTAAAAAGCTTCTCAGGTTGAAAAGATTTGGAGAATGGTGTCTTCCAGCATAAGACGACCTTTTCTTGAGCCTCTGGACAACTCAGTATACTTTTTTTTTTTTTCCAAACAGTTAAAAAATTTACAAAATCTCACCTGAAAAAGCCTCTGTCAACAGCAGAACGGTTCATGATGACAGAGTCTTCCTGGTTATAGCCTGTGTATGATGCAATGGCTACAATAGAGTTGATACCTGCAATATGTAGAGCAAATACTTTGAAAGGATGCACACATACCAGACAGGCATTACTTATAACTCAAAATAAGCTGTATTCTCTACAATGAAGCTGTTCTACCCTTTCCGAGATAAAATCTCCATGTCCCACACAAAAAAACCACGTGGTATCAGCAAATGCAATTTTAGGAGTCAAGAGTGACCCCTTGTGAAGAACCTAGCAAATACCAATACAGAAAATGCATTTATCCCATTAGATTTTAGCAGGCTATATGGATAAGGTAATTTCAGTTGCAACACCAGCAATGTACTTTTTGCAGTCTAGGTGTCAAACTACAAGTTAACATTTAACCTATAATTATTTTTTAAATTATATATATTTGCTAAATATTAAAGTATTAGACACAACCTATGTGACATAGTTTAAACAAAACAGCAGTATTTTTGTTTAATAAACATTAACTGACAACATACCTGCTGGTAACTCTCTAAATCGCAAGTACTCCATGGAACGTGTTGTTACAAGGGGCTTCTGAGGATAATACAACACATGTGCCAGCGTATCCATACGAACATGGAAGTTTGTAATGTAAACTCCCATAGCCTGTTTACCCATAGCAGACTGGTATGTGTTCCTGGGAGACTGGACAGACAAGGGAAGACCAGTATGTATGTACATAAAGCTCTTTACACATACACATGTGGGGTTTTTATCAACTTTAAAAGCAGGATGTCAGAAGTGATGCACTGACCTGGTTGTGATCAGGGAAAGGGATAATAGATGCACATACTCCCAGGATCATAGATGGGTGAATTTCACAGTGTGTGTATGTTGAACAATATGCCACACCTTTCTCTTGCAAGTCATCTGGAGTCATTGCCAGCATCACAGTCTCTTCTTCCAGTGTATCAATGTACTCTACTACACCACTGGCCACGAGATCCTGCCAACTGAATAACCAGTGTCTGAAATACTCAATTAACACACAAAATGTGTCTCTTCAGCAGTAATAAGAAAAAGGACTTTCCTGGCTTATTATTACTACCACTGCCTCAGTGTGGTAAAACAAATGAATTAAGCTACCAGGCAGAGAAAGCATCTTTGTACTGCACAAAGCTTGAAACATTTCTCTCTCCAATCTGAGGGAACTTCCAGCTTCCAGGATGGAAAATTAGTCATTCAGTTGAATTTCGGGAACTTCTCTCACCTGTAATTGTTATACTCTCGTTCCTTCAATTGGTCAATATGCCTTTTCTTCAACAGCAACTTCTGTTTTTCCACAATTAAAAGGGGTCGACAAATTCTGCCTGCATCAGTATAGATGCGGATTTCTCGCTCACGAATATCTCTAATCATTGAGACCTGCACAAGAAAGCAGCACTCCATGAGTACAAAGTCTCAGCCCAGAATCAGAACTATGGAACACAAAATAGCATAACAAAGTTCCCTAAAGCAAAGACCTTACAGGTGCTATCAGCAGCACAGAACAAGCATTAACACTCCTACAAACAGAAGCATTTCAAGAGACTATTTTCAACTGTTTTTTCAACTGGATCCTCTTTAAAACAAACAAACAAAACACCAAAAACCAAACCAACAAAAAAACCTACAACCAAACAACAAACCACATACCACAAACAAACAAAACAAAACCAAAAAGCACCAAACCCCCAAAAAACCCCCCCCCCCCCCAAAGTACAATGTGAAGTATGTTCAGAAAGAGACTTGCAAATAATACTATTGCAAAGTAGTATCAAGGCATTATCCTCTCTCATCTAAAAAGACACCCAAACTCTAGATGTAAAATTTATACCTCTGACACAATGATGTCCATCTGACGACGGAGCTTCCTTAGGGTATTCATGAGCTGCTCCGGATCTTTGTGTATGCCTACCCAGCAGCCATTAACAAAGATCTTGGTAGCACTAGAAAGAGGGGAAAAACAAACAAATAATTAAAAAAAACCCAAACAAACACCCAAACCCTTGAAGTGTTGTGCAGGATAAAAAGCTTAAGCCTGTTTAAACAGTTTCATTTGTACATACTCAGCTATTGCTGCTGGAGATATTTCTTCCAGGTTTTCCATACTCCACTCCTCCAAGAATTCCAAAATTGGGGATGGCTGAGACCCCACAGAAATGTAAGCCATCAGGGCCAAGTTCTTCACAAGTCCTACTGCATGACCCTAGTAGAAACACAAAGTTAACCTGCATTTCCAAATCAAGAGATTCCCCCAAGAAAAGCTGAGAATTTAAACTTCAAGTCCTCAAGGAACTGGACACAAAACATGCTATTTACTTTATTAATTTCTACCATTCAACTACAGAGTTAGCTATAAAGCTAAATATTCACATCAGCATTTAAAAAAAACAGTGCAAGTGATTATCACAAGTGCCATGGCTATAAAACAACCAGCAGATAAAAGCAGTTAGGCGTAAGTACTGACATAAATACTACTCTTATTACCTCTGGGGTCTCAGCAGGGCAAACCATTCCCCACAGCGTATTGTGCAGCTGTCTGGGCTTTGCTAGTTTACCATCTCTACCAATTGGAGAATTCAGGCGTCTCAGATGGGAAAGCGTAGATGCAAAAGTCAGGCGGTTTAACACCTGCACATAGTAAGGAATTCAGTTAGTCAAAGCTTCTTAAGTGTGCTGTTGACAGGCATCATGATACATCAGAGAAAAGGATCAATGCCCTCTAGAAATTATATACTTCAAAAGAACTAAAACCACCTGATATTTGTTAGCTACACTTTTTAGTTCACGTCCATTAATCTTGGACTAAGATTACCCCAACATCTGGTTTTTTCCTGTAGTACAGCTTACCCTGATCGGGTAACTAGAATGAGTGATATTTGTAAAAATGCTTTTTAAGCTGCATTTTCACCAGGAGTGTTTGCCAGTACAATGACACAGAGATCTTTTCAAACTCAGTTTGAAAAACTAAGACGACTTAGTTATTAGCAGCAAATCAGCATTTACGTTCTTTTCAGAGTCTGCTCAAGGCTCCTCAAAAATTTAAGAAAATTTGATTTTACAGCCTGAAACATGAGAGTTCATTTAAAAAGCAAACAAGCCCCTGATACGCACACACCAACAACTCACCATCCAGAGACACCTACCATCTTCGCCCCTTTCCTAACTTTGCTTTCCCCAATTTATGATCTCACCAGGGCTCCAGACAAAAAAACGTGCTGGCATTTAAAAACTGTCACCTCTTTCCCGTTTCCACCTTTGTGAGAAATGGGCCTAACTAAACACTGCTCTGGGCTAATAAAGTCAGTGCTCCTCATCATTAGCTGTGGAATACGTAACTGTTATATTACAAGTTGTCACTCAAGTTTCTTTAACCACCTCTGAAGGACTGGAAGTAGTTAAAGGAAAGAAATCCATCCTCCCTAAAGATTCCCTGGGACTAGGACTTCACCAGACACACAAGTATATGCTCTAACACAAAAGGTCTTTACGAGAGCTACACCAACTGTTTAGCAGCAAACACAACAGCTAAAACCAAACCCAGACAACAACAACAAAAAAAAAAACCCAAACCCCACATTAGACTCAACCATTTGGATCTTCATCCGTTTCAGCCTTGGAAGTTTCCTTTTAAAAATGGTTCTATTTAACATACAATATGCATGGCTGCCAAGCAATGTTAAAAACTCTTCTATGATATAGTTTTACTCTTATGTAAACCTGACAAATGCTACCATGCCTTATTCAGCTATTGTACCTGAGATACTCCTGCTCTGGCCTGATGAGCTTTCTTCTGGTCACCCCAGTTTCCAGTTGCCAATGAATACTTCAAACCATCTGAAATAATTCGTGTTTTAATTGCCAGTTCCAAGTTGAAATCCTTCCCTCTGTCAATAAACTTTTGTGCATATATTCTCACTTCCTTCAGCAAATTCTTAAACATTCTGTAGAAGAAGATGCCAAGAAACATGATTAAACAGTACTGCAGCAATTCAGCCTACTTAGCCCTCTTTGGAAAAAATGTCACTGGCCTCCTGAAAAGAAGCAAGTAATTTGTAACTAGAGGAGGAGGGGGCGAAAAGAAACCCAAACCAAATTAACCTGCTTATGAACACACAGAAAATATGCTTCAAAACAAGTTAATGCTAGCCACCTACTATTAGAGGAAACTTACTCCATTAAAAAGTCATAATCAGATACAGGCTGTGTGGTCCAAGACCAGCTACCAGACACAACAGAATAGTCTGACTGATTGATTTAGAAGCACAGAGTTGGCAATGCCTCTACCATTAATTATCTCCAAAGAAAATGTACATATTATAGTTACCCTCTGAATAGGAAAGCTAACAGTGGCCCAGCAAGATCCAGTCTTTTGTTGCCGTAATGATCTCTGTCATCAAGCTCTCTTCTTCCCAGTGCTGCCAGCAACAATCTATGAACCATATACCTAAGGCAAGTAAGATAGTGTATGTTTTAAACTGGCAGCAGACATTCACAACAAAGATTACATGCTTTCATAGATAAATCAGTGAGCTGTTTCCTAAAGGCTGTCCATTCTGGATCTTTAGGATACTGCTGTCCTAAAACAAACCTCTTCAGCACGTATGTCCTTAGAGGTGAATGACCCACTGAAAGTTCAGATAACTAGAGAGAGAGATCATGACAGCAATGCGTCTTCTGCTATGTCTGTCCTATACTGTAATATGGGCTATGTTTAAGTACACGGAATCAGGTGTAAAACGGTAAATCTCCTGATGCTACGGTTCATCTGCATACCAATAACCAGTGATCAAGAGGATGTGCTAATAGTTTTAAAGAGTTTACAGTATAAACAGTTTATCAGTAGTTACCTACACATCAGTTATCAACCTCTATATGTTGTCCACGCAACGCAATGTCAAAAAGTCATTAATCACTACCATCACATCTAACTTAAGATCCAGAACGTTAGAGGCTTGTTTTGTTTCAATTCTTTTTTCTATTTTATCAACATCTGCATTTTTTCAGCTACGAAAATATACCCGTGCCCTAAAATTTATCACTGAGTATCCAGAAGACTGAGGTTAAAAACAAACTTCCATTCAGTGTGTTCTTCCAATCATATAAATATAAGTGAATAAAATCTGTATTCAGGGTCCATTTGCAGATGCGTGACAGAAAATACTGACATACCCTAGAAAATAGGCCTTCTTGGTTTCACAGAAGTCACTGACACCAACATGTGGGAGCATTTCTTTCTGCAAGACTTCTTTAGCATACTTGATTCTCTTTTCTTTGGTGACACCTGGCTTTGCACCTCTTGATCCAATGAAGTTTAGAGCAACATTTTGCTCCTGAATTACAAACGCTTCATCCAGAGAAGGTTTGACCTAATGCACAAAATACAGCAAAATCCTGTAGCATCCAGTGCCTGTTGGGGTTGAAGGAAACTATGCACTTGTTTGCTGATGATTCTTTTCAGGAGCTGCTAATTACTGACCCAGTTCTTTCTGGCTTTACTCTAGTAGCTCTTTCAAGAGCAGCAGCAAACAGTAACAGCACACAGAAAGCACACTAAAAATAGTTCTCATTCGAGTACATTCTAGGCCTGTTGCTTTTTCATGTATAAATCAGGATTTTACAGTTCAAGTCAATGGCAGCAGGATAAGACCCTACCTCTCCAAATACATATTAATTCTTTGAAATTTCCATTAGACTCTGTGCACTTAAAATACTGATTAGAATACCTTTAGGCAGAGAACTTTTGACATTTCTAATAGACAACCCACAAAAATAATAAAGTAATAAATTACAATTGGAAAATGAACAATACTTTGAATTATGATTAGCGACACCTACACATCACCAAATGTCAAGCCAGGAAATAACTTATTTAACATATATTACCATTTCCATCATTTCTGGATCTTCAAAATCATATATGATGTGCTCTAAAATGTCCCTGTCGGACACAAAGCCTAGTGCACGGAAGACAATTATGATGGGGACTTCTTGTTTGATATATGGCAAAGTTGCTACAATGCGCTGACCAATAGCGCTCTTCTTCGCACCCTGAAAAGATGGGGAAAAGCATACATTAGTCTTAAATGATCTTGCCTTTAAATAAAAATATCTCTCTGGATTTGGATGATACAACATAAGTGTATTTATTCAGGCACTACAGGAAACATTACTTCTTAGCAGGCCAACTAAGCAGCTATTCTGCAACCTTACTCCAGCAGTGACTTTTTTATTTCAAAAACATTTCTAACTTTAAAAGTCTGTAAAAACTGATACAAAGGAATTTAGATAATACTACTTGCCCATCTGTATGCATCATTTCTCTCCCTTTGTGTGTTTGCAAAGAGCAATCCTATCCACCTTCAGCTTTCCTTCTGTCAGCTTAAGCCCAGCTTTTCTAATCCACCGTATAAGACTTCATTCTCGTAATTATAGAAGTAGCTGCTCCCCCCTCCCAGAAAGAAACAAACACTGGGATGCAGAAAGACAATCACTGAAGAGTGCCTTAGCCATCAGGAGCAAGAGTGGTGTAAGGCTTCTATTAAAGTTAGTCTTGGAACATGTTTGGGATTTTTTCCAAACATCAGCGCAATGTATTGACACCTTCTGCTTTTGAAATTATGAATAGCACTTATTTCCCCTCATAGATGGCACAATTAGATATTAAATATGAATTAACATCTGGTCTGCAGACACATCTAAACACTAGCTTAGCCATCAGCAAAGACAGAGTCCCTGCTCCTATTCTTGTCCTTTGTCAAAAAACAGGACACAGCTTGTTTGGATTTTCTAAAAACTCATTTACAGTAATTCTACAATTATTTTCTAGCTTCACCCTAAAACCTGCCAGAAATTGAGTCTTCATTTCAATCCTCAAATTATTTGTCCCGGAGACAGGCATAACCTATGACAAAGAGAATACATTTTCATTTAATTTTACCTTCTTTACAACTTAGTATCAGAAGAAATTTCTTCTCAAAATCCCAAAAGTAAATGACATGAATAGACAGGACAGTAAGAAAACTCCTAAAATAATCTTTATTGTAAGCCCCAGGGCAGGGGTTATTACTGCTTAGGCATACCTGCCCACCTCTGGCCAGCATGCTAACCCATATAGTACTTGTTGGTCGAGAGGAATTTTCCAGACAAGATCTACACTCTCCTGTGTAGGCATATTTTGAATCTTTCTTTGCAAACACATACACTGTGTTTGTAGCCATTTTCTCTTGAGCAATCAGAACCTGTGTTAGAAACAAGAACACTAGTAAGTAACTGACAAAAGGACATGCTGAAAGTAACAAGCACTGTGTTTCTACTATTCCTTCAGGTGCCTTAACTTTTAACAGCACTGCACAGCATTAAGTCAATTTGCCAAACTCAGCTGGATTACATTCTACATTTTAAAACTACAGTATTAAGCAAAACATACACCTAGTTAAGATAGAATAACCAAAAGACTCCAAGAATACTGTTCTCTATGATGTACTTACCACGTTTTCTAGCTGTGCCAAGACATTTCTGTTAGCTTTAGGCACAACACTGATAGAGAAAGCACTTCACCACCTGTTTCCAAGGCCAACACACTACACAGGCATTTAAATTTAAATGCCATCTCTGATACTCAAAGCCAGATATTTTTTTTTCCCTAGAAGAAAAATACAACTCTATTTCTTTTGCTGTGTTTGCCCAGGTGTCAGTTCCATTGGTAAGGCACAAGCATGGATAGGGTATGATTTGCTAAAGCTGAATCAACAGCAATGGAGGGAAGAACCTATTCTTACAATAAAATGCATCTATACTGCTGTGAACAAACTGGAGGAGACTCCAAGTGAAAAAGCACCCCATTTTAGAGTGCATGCTGCTCTGCAATGTTGAAAATGGAAAGGAAAATACCTAGAGTACTTAGTGGCATTCAATGCAAAACAGTTTATGAAACTGAAGAAGGGAAACGTGCCTCAGAGAAGAAGAAAAGGTGGCTCGATAAAGTCCTAACAGAAAACTAAAAGCCCATCTTTCTACAAGATCATGAACACCCACAGCGACTGTGATACACTGGAATAAAAGTGCTTATGCTCCTGGCAAAACATATGGAAACAAGTAACAGTACATTCAGTGTCTGTAAAGATGGCTGTGCAAGGTATAATCCCTTACCTTTTCTGATCCATTAATGATAAAGTAGCCACCAGGATCAAGCGGGCATTCATTCAGTTCACAAAGATCACGGTCAGTTAAGCCATTCAACAAACAGTATGTTGAACGTAACATAATAGGAATTTTTCCTATAAAAGTTTTCTGATGCTGTGTCTGTAACTGATCCTCTCCTTCCTTAATAACTGTTTTAGTTATATCCACATACAAGGGGGCTGAATACCTACAGAATAAAAACACCATTGTATTATCTGTCGGTTATTACTCAAGGTTGTACTCAAGGATAATGAATGTGGTTATTCAAGCACTCACTGTTAATATTATGCATTATTACCAAATCATCAATCATCGTCTGGATTTAACAACTAGACATGGAAATTTAAATAGAGCAGTAATTATTACATTTTTAAGGCACTACTAAATTGAAAAAGACTATCAATTAATAATGCAGAGCCAGTCCGTCCTTGTGTTTATCCACTACAGAGTTCGTTCTTACGTAAGGTTTCTCAGTCTGGCTTCATTGGGCATCATAGGTGAGGGTGCTCCATCTCTTTCCCAATGTGTAGGTTTGGAGAGATAGATTTGTTCAAACTTCAACAGATACCGAGGCTGGAAAGCAAGAAGACATTTACCTGTAATGGAAGAAACATCCATTTTGGTTGTTCCAGAGCGGCCCTAGAGCTTAATACCCAATGCTGCTGCATGTTCTCAGCTCAAAACATGGAAACAATCCCTCTTCAGATGACTAGATCAAAAAAAGCACTCAAAAACTTTCAATAATTTCTAAACATCTCATTAACAAAAAACAACAGAGGAAACTGAAGGGTCAAAACCATTGGTAAGAGAAGAATAAAGTACCCAAATAAGTCTTCTTCCTATAAAACAGCTAACAAACTCAAAATCTGCCAAGTCAGTGAATATATTAACAAACAGAATATGCCTTACATATGCCTTCTTAGATATTTATTGTTTAGGTAACTTCAGATAAAACTGGTAGTTTTATCATGCAAAAAGGTGAATCTGCTTCAACACATACAATGAGATAGCTGACATATCAAACAATGTGGGAGTTTTTGTAAAGCTTTGCTCCAAGAGCCACTCACCCCTCAGAATTCTACTGCAATGAGGTTTAGAGCCTGCAGTTCACTTAAAATCAAAAGCCTTGCATTTAAAATAAAGGGGTAGAAGTTTTAAAACAATACCCTTATCAAAGTGCATTTGTGTATCTGGTAGGGGGAGCTAGAACTTAAAAGAAAGCAAGCCGTTACACAACAGTAGCTTTGTTCAAGTAGTTTGTATGTGTAATCTCAGCGCTGGTGCACAAGCCTGCCGGGTCTCGGCCTCCTTGCATGCAAAAGGACCTAGAGATGAGCCACTCTACTCACAAAGCGTTCTTTCACAGACCAAAATCCAGGTGGGTAGAGAAACATAAGCAAATCATCAGATCTGCATGTATACAAGTTGAAAGGCTTGTTTCCTTACAATGTTTTCTTCAAGTTGCTATTTCCCACCACGTCCCTTTGCAGAACAGAAGTTAACACAAATAAATAACTACAGTGCTGCCACCCCAACTAAGTATCTGCCTAGAAGCCAGATGAGAATATCTATTACTAAAACAAAACTTGAATTCCATGCAGGCATTTTACCGTATCTCAGTCATAAGGACTCCACTGTAGCACACCACTAAAGCAACACTTGCTCTAGCAGAGCAAGCTCCAATGCAGAGAAAAAAAAGTCAGCTTACGGTTTATGTTGCAAGTGGTTTTAGCCTTTCTGAAATATATTTTCAAAGTCCTCATATTCAGCCCTTTCTCTGGCCTCACTATTAAAGGCAAAGGTACAAATTATCCATCCCATACATTTTGTCTTACACAGAGCCACAGAAACCACCTTTCTAACACCTGCGCTAGGTGGTTTTGTTTCATCTAGAGATTGAACAGATTATTGCATCAATTTATCAAAAAACCACAGCTTTCAGACAAACTGAAGTGTCATTGCTGCTCTGTCCACAACATGTATTAATAACAAGCCTTCTGTATTCAGGATATTCTCTCTTACTCATTACTAACCAAAACTGCTACTGGAGAAGGATAACCTTTATCAATAACTAAAAACACAGCAAGCTGGGCAACACCAGTTCCTAGGATGATTCTATAGTGTCAGTAAACAAAGAGGTGAATTATCAGAAAGGACCTCAAAACAATCTGATTTTAAAAAGACAAAAAAGCTTCCTACAATAGCAGGTGGCAGAGCCTTGTTGGCAAACACTTTGTAGGTCAAAAAAATTCTCTCAATTCTTACCCAAAGAATCACCTTTTTCCTGGATTTGCAGCAGCAGCCATGTATAGTACCAAGTTTTCCAAGTTCTCATGCAAGCGCTCTCAAGGAAAACACATTTACCATAATCACTATCTCTGATCATGGTTGTTAAACACTTTGATATGCTATAAATTGCCCAAATTGATTTCAAAAATTGAGGCTGAGAAATGGAGGGAGAAAGAAACAAAAAGTCAAATTAGTCCAATAAACTCAGTCTCCTTAAATTAATCCAGTATCTTCAAATGAGGCGAGAGGTTGCCTGCAAGTGACTCTGAAGGGAAAAAAGTTTCCTTTTTCTCATATCTAGACCTATCCCTAAAAACTTTAATCTCATCAACAAGAACAAGAAACTAACCTCTCTGATTTGAGAGAGTGAAATACTAGCTTTTGGGCAAAAAGTATCAAGTTACATACCATGCTCACGATCTGAACCTTAACCACATACCATGCATATACCAACTACAGAACTGCACAGCTAGAGAATTCCGCAATAATATACATACAATAACAAAAGAAACATTAAGGAGAATTACAGTGAGATAAACGTTAATGAACTGTTTGTCTAACAAACAAACTAAAAGAAATCTCAGTTGTTATCTCTAAAGGATAGTTGTTTGCCTGCAAAAAATGGCAAAGGAATAGTCAAGACGTGTAACAAATTCAACACTCAGGTATCTTAAATTCCTTTATATCTCTACAGGGAAGCAGCAAGGTAGTGACTGATAGCAGGGGAACGGATCACTTATGGAACAGGGATCACACCACATGACAGACAAGGATGGAAGCACCACAGCCACTGTAGAAGGTGCAGAAGAGCCATCACACAGCGCAGACCTCAGATAATTTGTTCTCCTTTGGAACAGGGTGCCAATGGAAGATGATGAGCAATGGCACCCTTTGAAAACCTGGGCCTAACTTTGGCCAAAGAAAGCTAACAGAGAACTTTTCAGCCATAAACGTTTCTTGCCATAGTAAAGCTACTGAAAGTCAAAATCCCACCAAAACATAGTTTGCTTTTGGCTACCTGACTTGGTCTGCTACATCCCTGTCAGTACAGTTTTGTACAGTAATTGACAGCATGAACTGCAGCAGCCAATTGCTCTTGGTCATTTCTCAGCTCAATCAACAATTTAACCAGCAGGAGAGAATAACACTATAAGAGAGGGAAGTTCGATTCCACGGATAACAAAGCTCTTGCATGTGTTTCTCAGCCATATACTCGACTATCTGGAAACTTGGCCATGTACCTCATAGACTCCAAAGAGTTCATACTTCTGTCCTATTGACTGCATAAGCAGTGTCAGAACTTAGATATATTTCCATCTCTTGAGACGGGGGCTGAATAAACGCCACAAAATCATTTTGCATTGTAAAAACACACCACCTCTGCTGAAGGTCTCCACTTACCGGCTCTTCCACTTCTCCTGTGGCATGCTGGGCTTCAGCTTGTAAATCAATTGGTGGAGCATCTTCAACAATTCTCTGCACAGACATCTGAATAAACTCATCAAAAGAATCCAACTGTTGCCTGACTAAACCCTTTTCATCAAAATAGGAGCTAAAAAAAAAAAAAGCGTTAACAAACAAGATATCTTAATTTACGTACTTTATACAACAAGCTTAAGAAGTATTTATTACAAAGCCTTCAAAAACCATGAAATACAGTATAGAATCAAACACATTCACTTTTCCCAAGGCATGACTTTCAAACACAGATGCTTAAAAATGCTAAACAGTTCTCTCTCAGCATTTGAAGGCACGGACACTAGGAAGTGACAGACTTGCTGCCACCTCTTGGCTAAGCCATGACTGTACGCGCAGTCTACCTTAAATTAGAAGGGACACGTGATGACTGAAACCTCCTGTCGTGGTTTCAGCCCAGCCGGTAACAAAGGACCACGCGGCCGCTCGCTCACTCCTCCCGCCCCCCTCCGGAGGAGAGAAAAAGAAAAAAAACCTGGAACCTCGAGGGTTGAGATAAAGGCAGTTTACTGGGACAACACAAAGAAATTACAACAACGGTACTAATGAAAGAGTATACAAAAAGAGTGATGCACAGTGCAACTGCTCACCACCCGGGACCCCACGTTCCGCCACTTCCCCCACCGAAAGTCCAGACCACCCCCCGGCCCGCTCCCCATTTATATACTGAGCATGATGTCACATGGTATGGAATAGCTCCTTGGCTAGTTCAGGTCAGCTGCCCCGGCTATGCCCCCCACCTCCCAGGTTCCTGTAAAAATTAACTCTATCCCAGCTGAACCCAGGACACCTCCGTAAAAGTGGCTTCAGCTGAAGTTTTCAACAATGTATTGAAATTACTTTGCTTTAATTAATTTTCCAAGCTGCAGTAAATTGAGTGCATGCCCCTAAGTCAAGGTAACAGTTCTCAGAATTTTTCTTAGCTTGGATCCCCTCTGTTCCAGCCACACAGAGATTCCCAGCTTCACTCCTCCTCTGGATTTCCATTAGCCTTTACGTCACCCAGCTTCAACCCAGCACAACCTAAGTGTAAAAATCAAAGGCTAAATTCGAAGTCCCAAATCCTAACTTTTAATGGGATGACCTAAACACGTCTGTTGCATGAGCTCCTGCCAGCAAGCTCCTCTGCCTCACATTCCTGAAGCCAGCCAGGGAACGCACACTACCTCAGCTTCTGTCCCATCGCTGCCAAGATCTGTAGAGAAAACTGGTGAAAACTACCTCCCTGCCAATTACTTCAGGTTACCCCAAGAAGGGCAACACCCCTTTGGCTATTGTGCTGCTGCCATAGTGAATCTTGCCAGCGCAGTCTGGTATCGCACAAGGGGAAGGAGGAAGAAAAAGGGCAAACCGTATCACAGAACAACTGAGGTTGGAAGGGACCTCTGGAGGTCATCTTGTCCTATCACCCCACCCAAGCAAGGTCACCTAGAGCTGACTGCCCAAGACCATGTCCAGATGGCTTCTGAATACTACCAAGGATGGAGACAAAGACTGCACAACCTCTCTGGGCAACTCGTGCCAGTGCTAAGTCACCCTCACAGTAAAAAAAGTGTTTCTCCATATGGAGTGAGGTGCAGCCTCAGTGGAGGGACTTGCCTCCATTACCTCCCATCAGACTGAAAGCAGAGGTAGCATTCTTCACTGGGCTGCAACAGAAAGGATCTCCTTCTGCCTCCAAAGTTTCTCATCTCTGCTCTCGACTGCCCATGGGACCACCCCCGCAGATCCACCCTTCTGTTTGCAACTGCTGCTCCAAGAGAACAGTCATATACATTTGATGACTGGTGCAATTAGCAAGAGAAACACATTTTACCCAGTTCCGCACAGCATCCCACTCCTTAACAGTCACAAGAAGCTGCAGGTCCTGGACATTCATGTCTTGCTGGAGAAACACTAACATGGTGCAACAGCCAAGTACTGATTTCCTAATGCCAGCATCAGCTGTGAGAGTAGTGGACAAAATCACGTGCTGGATATGGAATCAAAATCACTTCTAACTTCATTCAAAACAGTGTATCCTACAGGGGGTCAGTTGGGCTTCTTAATTCCTAATGACAACCCTGCTGTTTCTGCTTAAAGACCTTCTGCTCTGAAAGCGCTAAATTTAGCATAACCAAGCCTGCAGCTTCCATGACACGCTGCTAGTGAACTGAGCGTCACCCGTGAGACCAAGAACACACATGCCAAAGCACTAAGAACGGCAAGTTTTAAAAAGCCACCTAATAACGATCCAGCAGGCTTCTTGCCACAAGTCAGGGGTGATTTCATCATCGTCTTCATCGTACTGCATATCTGTGGGGGAAGTACAACATTTCAGCCAAGCTCCAATCACCTCGGCGTCTCCCCTCACCTGCTGAGCTGGGGCCGGCACACGGCGAGCTGAGGGACCCCCGGCACCCCAGCAGTGTCCCTCGCCCCCCCGAAGGCGGCAGGGCCCCTGCGGGAGACCCCATCGCGCCCGGAGCATCCCTCATCCTCACCCTCACCGCCTTCCGCCGGCCCTGCCTCCTCCCCCCCCGGCTGAACCGGGGAAAAGGCCGGACGGGGAGTGGCCTGCAGCCACGGCGCCCTCACCTTCGTCCGCGTCGTACATGGTGGCGGCGGGAAGAGCCGCGGGTGGCGGCGGCCGAACAGAGGGGCGAGAAGCGCGCCGGGAGCCTGCGCCCAGCGGAGCGGCAGCGGAGCGACGGCGAGAAGGCGGCGGAGCGGCGCCTGCGCACACTGCGCGCGTCACGCGCCCTCTCCCAGGAGGCAGCGCGGATGGCGGGGGGGGTGGTGCGACGCGCATGCGCGGCCGTTAAG